TAAAACAACATAGAAACAGTAATTAATTTAAGAGCTTTGTCAAGAACCAGATATTTTCATCAGTGCAAATAGTACTGCAGCTATTAGAATAACCCAAAGAAATCTTGATGTTTATTGTGATGATGTAATTAATTAATTAATTAATTAAAAGAACAATAAGGGTTGGAGTAGCTAGGGAGATAGCTTAGTTGCTAAAGTATCTGTCACTCAAATGTAATGATATGTTCAAGAGATTCCAGGCACCAATGTAGAAAGCTGAGGGTAGTGGCATGAGTCTGTAACCTCAGCTCTGGTGAAACAGAGATAGACAGAATAGCCTGATGTTAGTTGGGCAGTGAAATTAGCTGAATCGATGAGCTTTAATTTCATAGATGTTCTTTCTCAAAAATTAAGATAGAAAGCAAAAGAGGAAAACATATGATATATGCATCCCTATACACATACACACAAACAAACACACACACAAACACACACCAACTTATTATACATTTACACATAAAAAAGAAATGAACACTGAACACAGATTGTGAATTGAGGACTCTCTTAGACACTGAAAATGTAACTGTGACTCTGACTAGTAAATTTTATGCTATGAGTTTATAGGCTTTATATGTTATAGGTTTCATATCATATAAAAATTGTAAGTGGAAGGACAAAATGAAGCAGTAAAGAGAATGAGCAAAAGAATCTCAAGACGAAGCCTGCCTGAGCTACATGCACGTAAGCAGAGGGGTAGTAGACAAAGCAAGCAGTAACACAGAGCAGGAGAAGAAGAACAAGTCTATTTGAATGTGCAGGAGTCAGGAAAGCCTCCTGGTGGTACCACTCTTGTAGATGCTTAAGCAGTATATTAAAACTGATAGGAGAAGAAACAGGGAAGAGACAAGTGGACAAATATGACTGTAAGAAAATGCAAAAGAATGAATGGAATCTCAGGCATTATGTGAAGAACACACTTATAGGTTCTTGACCAGACACAGAAGGGAAGGCATTGATTTATAATAAGTGCAGGTGGATCTGAGGGCAGAAAGCTAAACGCTTGCTGTTTATCTCTTTTTGTAATGAGACAAAATGAATAGGATGGTGGTTCCAACCTTCCTAATGCTGTGACCCTTTAATATCGTTTTTCTTGTTGTGGTGATCCTTACCCATAACATTAGTTTCAGTGTTAATTTGTAACTGTATTTATTTATTTATTTATTTGCTACTGTAAAGAATAATAATGCAAATGTCTCTGTTTCCCAATAATCTTAGGCGACCTCTGTGAAAGGATCATTTGAACCTCCAAGAGAGACGTGACCCACAGCATGAGAGCCACTGGTATAGGAAGTATTGTGACAAAATGCATCTTGTAGCACAGACCTCTTAGTGTTAGTAACCATCCTAAAACTGCCATCTGTGAATCAGCACTGTAGTTTATCTTTGTGGATTTAAAATTGAAATGGCCATTGTTTTTGTGTAATTTTCAGTAGCAATAGTTGTAACTTTTCATAGTAAATGGAAGGAGAAGAAAAGAGATGTGTTCACTCTAGAGGATTACGGTAATTACTTGTCTGGCATGAGTGTAAGAAGAAAGGGAAGGTAGGGAAAAAGTCAATGGAGTCTGTGGAATGCAGAAGAAACGAGATGAGTACATTCAAGAGTGTGATGATAGCATGACTAGGAATGACAGTTGGTAAGTGGATAGCAATGTAGTGGCCTTTCTATTACATGAAGAGACAACACAGTAACATGTTACAAAGACAAAAGAAACATGTATAAGGACACCATGACACTGGGAGTGATGTCACAGGTATGTATGGAAGGTAGAGAGCCAGGAACAAGATGAATCGAAAACCCTGACCAAAAGGTCAAGGGAAGAAGTTGTGAGTAATTAAGTGAAGGATTTAAGTCCAGAAGAAGTGAAGTTCAGAATAGATAAACCTGTTCGTTGAGCAAAGAGACACAATCTCTTGGAAGATAAAATGTTGGAAATGAATTCTCCCATCCTACAGGCATGTGAGTGAATGGCTGGCTGCCAGAGAAAACCATGGTCAGGAGTTATAATTTGATAATAAAGTAAAGGAAGGAAAATCTTCATCAAAACTAAAGACACATGTGTTTCTAGATTGGAGAACACTCTTATAAGAGCCTAAGAGGAAAAACTGCAAAAGATTGTGGGTACAGGCAAAACTATGTGTGTGGGTAATGGTACAACTTGGGTTTTGCATCTCAACTAGTGTGTAGAAAGCCTCTAAGGCAGTGAGATGGGGGATTCAGGGTAATAGATCATTATAGGATGACAATTGAACATTGTAAGCAATATTTTTATTGATTAACATCAGTGGATGAAATATATGTGTCCCACCTTGTATCACTTTGACTTGCATATTGAATGCAAAGGGAAGCTAACAAAGAATATCCTTAGAGCTACTGCTGTCTTTGGCTCATTATTGCTACAGAATAGAAAGAAACAATCATTAGAAGAACACTTTTCTTTTTCACTAATGCTGTTAAAGGAATCACCCTAGATTTTAATTCTGGAAAGAGTTCTAGCCAAAAGTCTTTGTGAAATGTTTTGGAAGAGGAGAAAAAAGCTACATAACACCCCAGTTATGAGCTAATGCATCCTGTCACAATAACTGATTCCCTGGGGTTTCTGATAAACAAGCTTAGCCTCTGGTAAGAAAACTATCAGGGGACCAAAAGATGTTTACTAAGAATAAAGCAGACTGGAACTGGAAATTAATCCTTCCTCAAGGCTCCATGTTGATTATGTCCTCAGGAGCTTGTTACAAACTTGAGAACCAATAGTTCAAAATAGATTTTGAAATTTTCAAGTAGCCTAAGTAAAACCAATAGGAAGGATTGAAGAATTTATTTATTTTTATAAGAAGAAATAGAGATGTTATTAATTTGAAAAAAGACAAGTTTGAGAAATTATAATTTTTGCTTTTCATTTTATACTAAGACAAGTAGCTCATCTGTCTGTCTGTCTGTCTGTCTATCTATCTACTTAAACAGAAGCTCATGTATCCCAACCTGGTTTCAAACCCATGAATCAGAAGATGTTCTGATACTTTTGATTCTCCTTTCTGACTACCTAATTGCTGAGATTGCAGGCATGCATCATTGAGTGCCAATTGGCACATGCTGGCATTTAAACCCAGAGTTGTGCATATGTTAGGTAAGCACTTGACCAACATTCACATCTAGTCTTGGCTTTTAGGTTGTGATGCAGATAAGGCAGCATGTAACCACTGCTTTAGTAATGGACATTATGGAGTTATTACTTCAGTAACTAGTTTTAAAAATTCATCCAGAACTCTGGAGGAATCTCTAATAGACTAGGTCTATCTCATGGTTCCATTGTGTGACAATGCATAGAAGAAACTTAAATAATAAGAGAAGAAAAAGAAATGTTATGTATTTGTATTTCCTGAATTGTTATAAACCTATTTATCATTCTAAAGAAATCAAAAACTACTAGTAATTATACAGGTCTTAAAATGGAATCTAAGGAGCTAAAAGCTAGTGTTTTCTTCATCTCCTGGAGTCCCTCAGACAAGCTCAGTATCATCCAGGATCTGGAAACCAGGGGAAATATAATTGGCTTTCTCTTTCTTGTTCTACATATAATGTTGGATCATTAATATCTGACTTTCAATATCCTCATCTGTGGGTAGTAATAATCATACTGTCTCTGAGTGCCTTAGAGGAGTTTATGGAATATCTGACTCAGTGCAGGACACTTCTGCTAAAACGAGCTGGTACTTGAAGCAAGATTTGGCCTTTCAAGCCATTCTCCATAGTTGTCTCCACATGAAGGATCAGGAAAATGCCCTGCTGCAAGGTGACCTCTATTGTTTGAATGATCTTCACAAACTTCCTACCATAGTCATTATCACTATTTCCATTCTAAATAAAATTGATCCCAACAAAAGGAATATACAGTGTATTAAGCCAAGCAATTAGAAGAAAGTGGATAGAGGGAATGATGGAATAAGAGCTCTTAACAGCATAGGTGAAGAAAGATGTTGTAAGGGCAGAAATGTTTGAGAAAGTACTATAAAGAGAAGGGGAAGGTCTTGACAACAGATCTTCATATTCTGCATGTTTTCCAGAACCAAATTTGCTTTCAGAATCCAATTCATCTATTTACATTGGTCATATAGGAAAGATTCTTGATGCATAAGAGTCGGGCTTCCTCAAGTCTATAAAATATATAATAGGATAGAACATGCCACTTTTTAATCTTTCTCTAGGTGTTTTATAGTTCTGAATCTAAGGAATAGAAAACTAACACACATAGTTTTTTCTCCCTGTCTGTAATGAAACTCAATTTTACAAACCACTTCCTGTAAGAAAAGTTTAAACGGTTTTTTGGGGGGAGGGCTTGAGGGATATCTTGTTCTTATGTAATTTGATTTGTTGGCCTTTGGTAGATAAAAGAAGAAAATGAGTCTTTATAGAACACTCAGATCATATTTATATATTATTTCTAGAAATACTCCTTTGAAAAATGTTCATGCAAAAGGCTCATTGTTCATTGCTATCAAAGCATTCCAGGCAATCAGAATATTTTGGCTATCTTTTCTTACACAAAGTGAAACAGGTAGGGCTTTTGTTAACATTTGAGATTTCAGTTAACATTAGTGAAAAGTGAAGACTGTAATTCAAGACATGCAAAGTGAGGGGAATTATTTCTCATTAGACTATTTACTTAAGAAACAGTCACCTACAATAACCTCATGTTCATTCCCTTCCTTTCATGACTGGTGAATTCATTATAGAAGAGACATATGAAAATTAGCCTTTTTATACTTAAATATTTCAAGGTGACATGTTGGCAATTTTAACTAATTAGCATCATTGCAAGCTTTGTGTACTGTGTAATTTGGATTATGCAGCTTAGCTTGTGTGACTATAAAATAATGCGCGGTTTTTAAAGACAGAGAAGCATTCTCCAGGTTAGATTTTACAAACAGAAAGTTGAGTGTTATAAATTACGCCTCCCACAGACCAGAATTCATATCCATTGGTCAGGGGCAAATACCAAGGACTCTGTATGCTCAGTCACTCTGTGCCACTTCATCAAGTCGGAGCCAAAGGTAAGTTTTTACACATGCTTTCTTCTTTCTCCCCCTAGTCTAACAACCTCTAAAAAAATAATTCAACGTGGTTTAAGGTCTCCTGTTGGCTTTGATCGATATAGTGGGTTTGTTTTAATTTTGCTGCTTACCGTAGATTGATATTATTCTTGGAAAATCCAAAATTGTGGATTAGCTTGGGAATTAATAACATTGGACAAAATAGTTAATCTTAATAGTTTTAACAGATGTGAATAAAATTATAGTGGTTTCCAATATATGCCTTAAGTCAATATCCCTTACACTGACCATAGCTTTTGACAGCAGGAAGACAATCATGATTGATATTGATTGAAATATTTTACAGAAGGAGAAAATGGTGGCATTTTGGGTATTTAAAATGTACTGATCATTATATGGCACTTTGCATTTTGAATGTCCTTTTGTGAGAAATATTTTAAAATTTCAATTAAGTTGATGTTTTCAGACTATTTTAATATGTAAAATGAACAAAAAACTGAAAAATTCAACTACATTAAATACAGATAGAAATGCATGAACGAAGATACATATTTGTAGCAAACATATGTAGATACTCATAACAATTTTACTTCACCCAAGCTGCTTGTCATTGTTCTGATAGCTTTTCTGGAAAGGCTGAATGCTATTGAACCCTCATGTGCTGAGATTTAACAGTACAGAAAGAATATGAGAAGAGAAACAGTATTAGTATGAGTAAGTTTTCTTTGAATGATGGAATTTGTTTAAAATGTACAGGGAAACATTCTTTTCAGTGATAGCAGTGCTGATACTTTACACTGGAGTGTGAGAGCATGGGTCATGGAGGATTTGTGAATTGTACTGTCCTGCTAAGCAAGCCTGTTGGTTATTGCTCATGGGAATTCTAAATCCTCAACCTGTAAAACTATGTCCAAAGGCAAATGAAATAGAGCCAAGTTCATCCAGTGTGAATTTTACAAACTATTTGGAGAAAGCATGGGAGAGGAGAGTAAGAAACTCTTTGTCCTGATCTTATTGTCAGAAGAATCAAAGATTCTCCTGCTTGTATGAGCTTCATAAAAGCTTGTTCAAGTAACTGAAGGTGAACTTAAGTCTCAAAGTAATAAATCTTCTTTTCCAAGTGTTTAGAGGCACTAACACCACAGATACTCAACTAGAAAATGATTGACAGAACATAAAATCTTTTCATATTACATATTAAGCAAGAAACTATACTGCTTTACATAATGAACAATTGACTATTAGTGAATATTCTTGTCATTACCATTGAAAACACTCAAAATTAAGCATGAGGAGTTATCTATATTCCTAACTATACTATAGTCAAAGCAATGTGTGCACACAAAGCTGAAATATTTGTAACAGTTATGCTAAGACTGCATTGGAGCCATTCCAAAGCCTTATAATATAATGAGAAACAAATTATGTTTGCTAAACAGTTACAAAAGAAGTACTGAGCCACTTCTATGTGTGTGTGAACCGCCTTATAGAGGGAATTGGGCAAATATTGCCTTTCTGACATATATCATTGTTGCTTTCTGAGTCTACATTATTTGTTATAGATAATTAAAACAAAATACTAAAAAATTAAAGTGACATTTTATACTCTGCTATAACATTAGAAATTACTGCACAATATATTACTTTTGAAATGTATCAAAATGTATATGCATTCAAATTTCCAAGTCCAAAAGGACCAATAAGAAGAGTAGCCTTCATTAATCTGTTTGGGGAAGGAAAAGCCTTAGACTTAGGTACACAAGGAAGAGTTGTAAGTGTCAGCAGCATCTGTAATGATCTCTCAGTCTCCTCATCTATACAGTGGCAAGATCATTAGTCTCCATCTTCTTCATCATCCTCATCACACATCTGCATCCCAAAGTCAGTGAGAGTTCGAGGGCTTCTTCAATGGCACAATATATTATTATAATATAATTATAAGCTCTGAAGCTTATAATTATCAGGCATTAAAAGGCTTTGTGAACCAGTACATTACAAACATTACACATCCTAATACTTTCCTCTTCACGAAGAGCACAAGACATTTTTCACTGACTTTTCATTATAAAAATATGAAGATGTATGTGAATGGAACATTTGGCTCCTTGAAATTGCCAATGTGCATGTGTTGTTTTTAAACCTATACTACAAAGAAAGATACCAGCTTGGGTTTCTTGATGCTGACATTGATCAATCATTTCTATTTAGTATAAACTATTTCTAAGCTATTATCAGTTTTGTATTTTGCATTTTCTATTTAAGAAATCTTGAAAGATGAGAATACTAGCAAGAATTGTCCTGGTCCTTGTCATCATTGATGCTATATTGGCTGCACCAACGACAGAGCTCTTTAACTATGACTCAGAAGTATATGATGCCATCTTGGAGGACACAGGGACCTATTATAACTATGAACACATTCCTGACAACCAAGTAGAGGTAATGACATCTCATACTTGAGACTTTTAAGTGCATTGAATGATCATTGTTAAGTGCTTTTTTTTGTACTGTCAAATGTTACATTTTTATCTATTATTTTTATTTTTCAAATTTATTTATTTACTTGCTTTTTGGCAATAGATTTTGCTTACTTATAAGCAAAGGTTGGATCTCAATTTCCTATAAATATTTGGATACAACATGTGCAACTTTTTCAACGTGAATACTGGGACAGTCTTTTGTCTTCCAACAGAAACAAAAAGTAGCATTTTTACTGTGGTTTTGTGTGTGTGTGTGTGCACGTGCACATACACATGCACATCTACACACACCAAAATACATGTGGGAGTGAAAAGAAAATTTGAGAAATTTGATTTTTACTTCCACCATGTACGTTTTGGTGACCAAACTCAGGTAACTACATGCCTTCTTATGTTTAACCATCTCACTAACCCAATAAAGCAACAATACTTTGTATTAGTTACAATAGGTATATTTTTAAAAAGCAATCAGCAATGCTGAGGAAAGTATAAAGAGAAAGTATAAAGAGGATAAAACAGACAAGAAGAAAAACAGAACATCCTTGCTTAGAACTGTGCTGGGTACCAGAAGGGAATGTGCATTTCTGATTGTTTAATCTCTTTCCCCAGTAGTAAAAGAGGCACTGGCAAGGTTACAGTCTGTTACATGAATCTAATATGACGTTTTCTAATTAAATGCTGGCCTTCCTTACACTTTCATATAACTAAAGGATACAGGCTAATTCTCATGAGTCAGAAAGCAAACAGACCTTGAAGCATGACTAATATACAACATTGGCCAAAATGTGGATATAAACAAATAAGGGAGAAAATCAGATTAGCCTTAAAGGATCATTGTGAATTTTGAACTCTGTTTCAAGTGTAAATCTTTGGTTTCCTATTTTTTCTGGACTTGACTACAAAATATCTAGACAAGATGAAATGTTTAACTTGTATAAAATTTAAGATGCCAAAATGTTTGATACAATTCATGTTGCCCCTATGAAATAAGAATCAGAGCTCAAAACAAAATATTCACACTTCTCTTTTATTTTTTTTACTCTCAGCCTGACTCTCTCCCCATATTTTATCTCATTCTTCTTCTGTTTTTAATAAAGTTTTAGTCTCTTAGCAGTTATCTGCCAAGATAAACATTTTAGTTCAGATGTATTTGATTCATTCCGTATTTTAAAATAGAAAAAAAGAAAGAAGCCAGGGGCTAAATATTTAACAATTATCATCAACGAATATTTGAGTATTTCTGAGGAGTGGAGTATTGACCATTTCCTTCAGAAGAACCCAGTGAACAGCGTAAGAAACATTGTTTAGTTCTGTGTCTTTCAGATAAGATTGTGAATTTTTTTTGAGATAACATCATCTACATAAAATTTAAAACCAGTCATCTCTGTCAGGATTCTCACATTGTCCCAACTCCCCCAGATATTCTTGGAAGTGAGTTGAGTATCTCCTGCTGTCAAGTAGTTTAAGAATATGTCTGTGTAAAGATGATTTGCATACAGTCTTCTCTCAATGAACAAACTCCCATGCGCCTACCATGTGGTAAATGCCTCAGCACTTGCCTCGTGCTAACATCCCTCATTTGTGACAGAATTTTATTGTAAAGCAGAGCTCATGCTTACTTTATTCCTTGAATAAATTTTGAAAAGCTATTACTATTTCCATTGAACAGATGTAACTTTAAATCCAAAGCTTTTAAATAACTTGCCTAAGAGTTAATGGCAAGGCTACATCTACAAACATCTTAAAACAACAACTGAAAATTCCATCTGCCCACTAAGAGTTTGTATATTCCTCTTCGGGCCTCCTATACTTTTCCAAAGTATTTGTTTAACTTGATATTGGTTTGATCCAAATGCTTCAACCTCCCTAAAAGTGCAGGACAAGGATCCACCTATGTTGGAGTAATTTTGAAATAGAAGGAATCTTTATAGATAGCATTGACTATAAACAAATTTTTTCTACAAAAGAATATCTCAGGACGATAAGGAATGGCTGGTCATAGACATTCTGCAATGTATGTTTCAGTTCTTGATGACAGCTTAAACACATAAACATGTGTATATACTTACATGTGATGCCATACTACATATATATCACATAGGTAACATATCTCCTGTATTTAGTTCTTAGGGGGAAACATTTTTGTACTTGCCTGAATGATTCATCATTTGAAACTGGTAGTCTTTATGTGGTTTAACTATTTCTGATGGCCATGGTTATAAGATGTTCCCTGTCTCCAGAGTTTAATGTTTAAGTTATGGGTAGTTCATCTCTTGTATGGTAAAAGGGACTCCAAACTGTCTTAAAGAGATTGATGGACCACCTATGAGTGTTATCTTCTCCTAGGAATATATTCCATGACAACTGTGGTGCTGGTGGCATTTCCATTCTTCCTCTGCAATTTATAAGGCTTCACTCAAAGCCCGTTAGTCCTATGTATTTAACTTTTCTTAATTTGACCTGCATGGACCCCAGGTCTTCAATAAGCAGAAGCACTGAACTAGAGAATAGAAGAGAGGTTGTTACTATAGTTGCTGTGAAGTGGGGTGGAGAATGGGTTAATGTTGATGCATGATGTTGTTATGAAGTGATTAAATTTCTTGGGTTCTTCATAGGAGGACAGTCTTTCCTGTCTCAGTCATAGGCATTAAAACTTTCTTTTTAAAAATTACATTTATTTTTTTACAGTCCAGTCATTCATTACCCACCTTCCATTCAGGCTTTCCACAGTTCCATATCCCATTTCTTCTCTCCCTGTCTCCAAGAGGATGGCCCCACCGCCCACCCTAACCTCAATTGTCCTTCCCATTCCCTGATGCCTCAAGTCTCTCCAGGGTTAAGTGCATCTCCTCGCACTGAGGCCAGACCATGCAGTCCTCTGCTGTATATGTGTCAGGGGACTCTTACTTGCAACTGTATGCTGCCTAGTTCAGTTGAGACTTTCAGTCTTCGTATGGGGTAGCCCTCCTCCTTGGTTCCTTCCAGCCTTTCCCTAATTCAACTACAGGAGTCCCCAACTTCAGTTTATTGGGTCAGTGTAAATATCTGCATCTGTCTTAGTCAGGTGCATGTTGGGCCTCTCAGAGGACAGCCATGCTAGACTCCTGTCTACAAGCACACCATAGTATCAGTAATAACTGGAGCCTCCACTTGGGCCAGTCCCTGGAACTCCTTTCCCTCAGTCTCTTTTCTATATTTATCCCTAAAGTTCTTTTAGACAGGAACAATTCAGGGTCCAAGTTTTTGACTGTGGGATGGCAACCCCATCCTTCTGCTTGATGCCCTGTCTTTCTACTGGAGGTGGGCTCTACAAGTTCCCTCTCTCCATTGTTGAGCATTTCATCTAAGGTCCCCTCCCTTTGAGTCCCAAGACTATCTTATCTCCCACATCTCTGGTACATTCTAGAGGGTCCACCCACCTCCCATCCCCTGAGGTTGCTTATTTCCATTCATTCTGCTGGCCCTCATGGCTTCTCTCCTGCTCTCCTAATTCCTGAACATGTTCCCCCCCCTTTCCTCTCCCTCTCCTCTCTCGCACCCAAACCCCTCCCTCCCTCTGCCTCCCATGATTGCCTTATTCTCCCTCACAAGTAGGATTGAAGTATCCCCACTTGGGCCCATCTGCTTGTTAACCTTCTTGAGTTCTGTGGATTGTATCATGGGCATTCTGTACATTTTTTGGCTAATATCCACTTATTAGTTAGTTCAAACTATGCATGTCCTTTTGTGTCTGAGTTACCCCACTCAGGATGATATTTTCTAGTTCCATCCATTGGCCTGCAAAACTCATGATGTCATCCTTCTTAATAGCTGATACTTCTTAATTTACTTCTTAAATACTTCTTAATAGTATTCCATTGTGTAAATGAACTTCATTTTCTGTACCCATTCTTTCATTGTGGAACGTCTGGGTTGTTTCTAGCTTTTTAATAACACAGATAAGCCTCTATGAACATAGTGGAGCACATGCCCCTGTGATATGTTGGGGCATCTTTTAGGTATATGCCCAAGAGTGGTATAGCTGTGTCTTCAGGTAGATTTATTTCCAATTTTCTGAGGAAACTCCAGATTGATTTCCAGAGTGATTGTACCAGTTAGCAATCCCACCAGGAATGGAGGAGAGTTTGTCTTTCTCCAGATCCTCGCCAATATGTGCTGTTACCTGAGTTTTTGATCTTAGCCCTTCTGATTGGTGTGACTTTGCTAAACCATATACCATGCAAATGAGTGTTCCTGTTAGTCTGTTTTGTCTACTTATAATTCTGGAATTTGGTTATTGTTGTTTTTGTCTTCTTAGTTTTTTGTAACTTCCTCTATCTTTATTGTTCAGTTGTCCTAAGTCCTGGTGTAGACTTTTTGAATATTGTCCTAAAATTGCTTTTTAAAAATGTCTGAAATATGTAATCATAAGTAAATACTAACAACAACAACAAAAGAATTGTAGGCAAAATTTCCTTCATGGGAACAATTTGTTTTTCTCCTTCAGTGATGGCTGAGGACAGTATTTCTTGTCATGAATTGGTAAATGTGTGTTTTGTTTTGCTTAATGAACATTTCATAATTATTTAGTGTATGCATTTAATACAATCAGTCCACCTAGTATGTTTAAATATAAATTACACATTTTTTTTAATGAAAAGGAGTGACTTTGCTTTCTTTCTTTTCTTTCTTTCTTTCTTTCTTTCTTTCTTTCTTTCTTTCTTTCTTTCTTTCTTTCTTTATTTTTTTTTTGAGACAGGGTTTCTCTGTGTAGCCCTGGCTGTCCTAGAACTCACTCTGTAGATCAGGCTGGCCTCGAACTAAGAAATCCGCCTGCCTCTGCCTCCCAAGTGCTGGGATTAAAGGCGTACACCATCACTGCCTGGCAGGAGTGACTTTTCAAGACAAAACTCATCAAGTGATCATAATGGCACTGTTTTATGTTTTTGTAAATCCCTTCAGTGTTTGGTCTAATAGAAC